TAGCTAAGATATTAAACATTTACACATGGTGTTAAGACATATACATGGACTTATGCTTAACATTAATTTCCTAGCAATTTCCTAAATATACTTTATTATAAAATGAGGTCTTGATTTTGAAAAATACACTACAATTTTCGGCCATCCCATTTTAGAGAGAAGAAAATTTTATTTTGTGTTCAAAGTTATTTTCTAATGTGTTAGAAATATACACAAAATATTATAAAGAAATATTTATAAGATAAATATTTTTACTATATATTTATTACTCCCAAAGTAGTATTATTATAGTTTTTACTATCCTAAATTAAACTTGCTAGCACAAGTTTAATCTAGGACTCCGGAGCAAGTTCGTGTGGATACGTTGGAGGCTTCATACGTTTGGCGCTACGTTTATCTCCTCAAAACCATCCCCGACCGTTCCTCCATTCTCCGTTTTCACCGTTAAGGTAAATTTCTTACTATAGCTAGTAATTTACGTAAGTTGTTCTTGGGTGGAATCGAGTTTTGGACTATAAATTTTTGTTTTCCGCTGCGTTATCCAAGCCTCGTTTCCCAACAGATTGTTACCACCCAACCACGCAATAAATGAAGATAACAGTAATTACATGCGAGAAGAAGATGAATTGATTGTGTTGGCATAAGTTTTGTTAACCGTTAAGTGGGCCAATTTTTGTATTTTGCTCAACCAGAGGGTGTATTTTAGGTGGATGTTGGGTGCAGTTTTTTGTCATGATCTGCACTTCATGTCTCTTGGAGAGTCCTTGCCCTCCTGTACCTGTATTTCGATGGTGCTGTGTGTTATGTCACTCTGTATTGCGTTGTATTGCGTTTTGCTTTCTGGGTACGTGGAATCATACCGGCTCTTTTCGAATTATAAGGGCCTTGTGTTTCAAGCAATTGATTTATACTTCCAGGTAAATTAATTTTGTGTTTTCCTACATTTTGGGGTTTATGGCTGCCCTTTGGGTTTTATACTTCAAGGTTTAGTTTGTTGGTTTTCATGATGTGCAGTTCATGTCGATCTGCTAGCAGTGCTTGTCCTCCTGTATATTGATGTTGTTGTGTCTTAAGTTGTGTCCTCCTGATGGATACGTTGGGCCATAATTTTTTTGCTTTTTGGGTATAACAATAATGCTGTTCACTTGGTGGCTTTTCCCAAGGTTTGTACTGTCAAGTTTTGTTGGTGGGTTTTTCCATTTTGGTTTATGCTCTAAGGTGTGTATGATTACTTTTAGAATGGATGATTGAAGGATGAACCTGCTTCAAGGATATTAACGGAATGCTTGAAGGATGAAGCTTGAGGGATATCCATGTAGGTGAGTCATTTCCTAACTTCAAGGATATGTACTATTTCTTGGATGCTTGTTGGTCATTGCTTTTATTTCAACTTAACACTATTAAAAAGAACCAACTTTTGGCCTATAACAGATCATGTTTTGGAGGCATCATCATGAAAAATGGCAGCACCAAAGCAGTTTCTTGAGCAAAAAAGTTGTTCTCTGGTTGTCGCACTCCATTCCTCGGTAAACCTTGGGTCATACATTCTATTTGCATCTCGCCATCTTCTAATTGTTTTTTTGTTTTATGATGTGAGATTGATGGATTGTATGGGTTCCCAATTCCCTTTGTGCGTAGCGGGACAGTACCCAGCCTGTCCATGTACAAATTATTTCGTTTGAATGGAAGTGTTTATTTTTTCATGTCCATATAAATCTTTAAAACAACGGTTGTTTGATTTTTTGGGCAGTAGTTTTTGAGTGACTGAGTTGAACTCTTGGGGGGGTGAGTGGGTTTGGAGTGCTTGACTTGTTTTGGTTTGGGGTGGGTTTTGAGTGTGTGTTGGAATTGTTTGCTGTGATGCTTTGGAAAGCCATAGTCTGGACAGGGGCATGAAGATAGGGGGACAAGAGAGCTGCTGCAATTGGGACCAAAGAAACCAACCAACCTTCAGTTCTAAAAAAAACAGCCCAGACAGTGACCAAGACAGCTCCATTTTGTTTGCTGTGATGCTTTGGTTTCTGCAATTGTTTGCTGTGATGCTTTGGAAAGCCATAGTCTGGACAGGGGCATGAAGATAGGGAGACAAGACAGCTGCTGCAATTGGGACCAAAGAATCCAACAAACCTTCAGCTCCAAAAAACAGCCCTGGCAGTGACCAAGATAGCTCCATTTTGTTTGTTGTCATGCTCTGATCCATTTTGTTTGCTGTGATGCTTTGGTTTCTGCAATTGTTTGTTGTGATGCTTTGGAAAGCCATGCTTTGGTTTCTTTACACTGTTCATGTTACTATTCATTCTTTGATGTTTTGTTGGGGACTCAAAAATAGAGATGGCCCAAAGGCCCCTGGTAGTGCTACTACCATGCCAAATCAAGTAGCTCAAGCCACCACTTCAAATCAGACAACCAACTAGCAGCGGGTAATAAAGAAAAGAAGAAAAAGAAGGCTTTGAAAGGTGATGAATCTATTGTAGATGGTTATGGTGATGCTGCCATGCCAAAGCCAGGAGGCCAAGTTCCCATCCAATTCTCTTTATGTGTTGTCCATGTGCTTTTTCTTTTCTTTCAATGGAAGTGTTTATTTTTTCATGTCTGTATAATTGTTTGGAACAAGGGTTATTTGATTGTTGTATAAATTTTGCCTGAAAGTATGAATGTAAAGTTAGAGAGCGTATACATTTTCATTGTAAAAAAGATTACCGTTTCTCCAAACTTTTAAAATAGTTTTAGGCTTAAGAGCTAGACTACTATTTAAAACGAGTATTCTTAACTTTTAAAATAGTTCTAGGCTTGATATGCACAATTCTCTTAAAAACAGTTTTCTTTACTTATTATAGATAACTGTGAAAAAATTAGTGTGACACACACTACTTGTAATACAATACTAATTCTTATAAGTTTAAAAAGAGTTATACACTGGGAAACCAGACTTCTATTAAGAAATAGTAGTCTTAACTAATTATTGACAACTGTGGCAATAAAAACTGTATTTTTTTACGAAACCGACTACTAATAATAGATGACCGTTTCTCACGGATTCAAAAACAGTTCTACCCATAATTCATAGACTATTGTTCTAAAAGAGTCTTCTATTCCTATTATAAACAACAGTGGCAAAAAAACCATATGAAACAGACAACAAACGTTAGATAACTATTTCTAATAAATTTAAAAACAAATCTAGAATAACAACCCAGACTATTGTTTAAAAAGATTATTCTTAACTTGTTATTGACAACTGTTGTAAGAAAAACTGTATTTTGAACTGAGACAGACAACTAATGATACATTACCGTTTCTCGAAACTTGAAAAATACTTTTAAAGCATAGCAGCTAGACTACCGTTCTGTTCTTAAGAAAAACTTACAGTAGTCTGTTTTTTTTCAACTACTGTGTTTGCATAAACAGTAGTGAATCAACAGTGGTCTGATGATGTTTTTGGCGTAGTGAATGTACATGAAATGGGCTCGGAAGCCATTAATGGAGAAAGTGTGGAGCTTCAAGCTCTTGAAGAAGAAGAAAAATATACTCTAAAGATATTTAGAGAGAGAAACAATTGGGCAGGGAGAATGGAAGGAGTTGGCCTCCCTTAACATTGAGGGGGAGCCCTCCTTTTATAGGAGTAGCTGGAGCATTTACGGAGGAATATTCTATTATTCCTCCACTTTATTAAACAGGCCCGATTTGACTATTCTTCGTAAATAATTGGAAAATGTGGGCCGAGCCACGTATTATTTCCCATCAAGAAGTCCTCCACTTTTTTAAGTTGTGAGAATCATCAACTTAAAAAAGTAAATAAGTCCTTCGAGTGCTATCTTCAGTCTTCGTACTTTG